TCATTTTACACAAAGGGCTTGAGCACCTGTGGATTTGGGCATCCAGGGTGAGGAGGCCCGGATATTGGGGGACAACTGTGGTACCAAAGGGTCACAATGCTTGCTAGAAATGTGAGTCAACAGCTGCCTTCCCAGGCCCATGACAGCTGTTATTCTAGCTGTTCCACATCCTTTGCCCTCTGTTACTTGCACCAGGTTTTCTTTGGGAAAAACTGCCCTATCCCCACTTTTAATTACCTTGGGGATCAGGGTCCCTTAAGCAGGCCAGTTGCTCTGTCCCATGCCCTTGGCTGAAGACATAGCCTTAGAAATGGGTGTGTGAGCCAAGTCACACGGGGGAGGCTCAGTTCTGAGACTTACCCCAGACCTTGTTGGAAAGTGGCTTTCCTGCCTGGTAGGACCTGTGCTAGGGGCAACTGGTGGCCTTCCCTCTGTCCAAAGGGAGCCTGCTCAGGAGGAAGCCATCAAAGGCAGCAGAGGGGCAAGAGCTGAAGGTGGATGAACATGCCAGGCGCTGTTCTTTAGCAGCTCTTCCTGGAATTTCATCCTCAAGAGACAAATTCCCTTTTCTTGCTTGAATGAGATGCAACCATGATCCTGTCACTTGTAACTGCAGAGTTCTGAGAGTTCCGTCTGCAATGTCATGGCCTTGGGTGGCCACTGCCTGCTTAGTCTGAGCAGCCTCCCACCACTGGGCAGGGGAAGACAGGGCTCTGTGATGCTGGTTATCACTGTACTGCCTGACAGGAGGGAATGAGGCAAGAAGCCCAGGAAGCCACCCTTCGTGGAACCCCTGTGCTGCTCTGTGTACCTTCTGGGGAGTGGAGTCTGCCAGAAAGCATGCAACCTAGCAGTCTTGAGCCTCGGTTTCCTTATCTGCAAGTTGTCCCTCTGATATACTGTAATGGGCTGTAACGGGCACAGGTGACACAGGGCCATGATGGTAGAAATACACAATGGGGAAATGGGATCAGAAGACACTGCCTCTTTAGGGGATGGGGTCATGACTAGCACAGGCACGTGATGGTCCCATGCCCTGAATGGAAGAGTCCGAGGGACTCAGCTCGGCACCCAACCTTTCCAAGCAGGAAAGAGGTGAGTACGTACCCAGGCAAACAGGTCCTTGGACTGTAAGTCCTGGCTGTCCCCAAGGGTCATCTGATGATTAGGCAATCCAGATGCCTGCACCCCCTGCCCCCTAGTTCTGATTTCACTGTCCTGGGTGCAGCAGGACATTCAGAGCTTCTCAGGGGTCTCAATGTACAACTAGGTCTGATAAGTAGTGAACTAAAGACAGATATTACTGCATCTAGTTCTGGTCTGCCACTTACAAGTTGAGTTGCTTGAAGCTAGCTGGTGGCTTTCCTTTTCAGAACCTCAGATTCTTTACCTAACAGGACAGGAGGACTCTGGGTAGAGCATGCCCTACCAACAGGTGCAAATCCACTGAGGCTTGTGGACCTTTCAGATCCATGACACTGCCCTTTGGCTCAAGTGCTAGGGCAATTAAACCGCACCCCGCACACCAGATGAGAGGACGTTCCGCAACTAGTGTTGCCAGATAAATACAGGACACCAGGGTACATATGAATTTCAGATAAATACAGTTCCCCCAACTTAAGTATGCTCCAAATACTTCAGCAAAGGACAAATGTGTGCGGAATTTTTCATCATTTATCTGAAATTCAGATTTAACTGGGAATTCTTTTTTTTTTTTTTTTCCTTTTTAAGACAAGATCTCAATATGCAACCTAGGCTGGGCTTGAGCTCACTTTGTAAGTCAGGCTAGCCTCAAAATGACCGTGATCCTTCTGCCTCAGCCTCCCAAGTGTTGGGCTGACAGGTGTGCACCACCACCAGCCTGACTAGTTTTTGTTTGTTTGCTAAATTTGACAACTCTGCCCAGGTACCACCTTTGGTGTTCGGTTTTCAGGTTTTGCCCAGTGGAGTATGAGGGAGGCAAGGAAGGAATGGAAGGGCCCTGATGGGTTTCCATTCTGGAACATCACAGCCGAGAACCTCTATGGGAACCACAGCGCTCCTTGTTCCTTGCAATGCCAGGAATCCCGAAGGCTCCGGAGAACATGGCCACAGCTGGCCCATCTGCATCCACTTGGTTCCAGAGACCCCAACTTTAGGAAGCTAGGCTCCCCCAGGAATGGGAGGTTTCTGTGAGGAGTTCTGAGGTTCTCACATTGCCTTTTCCTGTGCTGGCAACAGTAGCATGTGAGCTGCCTTTTTTTTTTTTTTTTTTTTTTTCTTCCCATTTTTTTCTTCCCAGAAACAGGGATTAAACTCAGGCCCTTGCACTTGCCAGGGAAGCGCTTATTCCACTGAGCCATCTCCCCGGCCCCTTAGAGTGTGTGCTGCCTATTCTTAAGCCATACAAAACCAAGGCTTTATAGCTTTCTTCTTACATTTACTGTACTCAGACCCACTGGAAATTATCATTAACTTGAGAAGAAAAAAAAAAAATCACCTATCCTTCCTTTACCCAGACGCAACCCATGTCAGCTTGCGTTTCCCTTGGGAAGGAAACAGACACTTCCTGAGCCTCAATTTCCTGAGCATGCCAGAAGCTTCTCCTCCATCATAGCGTATAGCCTTTGGAAAGGAAAATAACTTGACTGCTTTTTCTGACTATAAAAGCAACACAAGCGCTCTCTGCATATATATATATATATATATATATATATATATATATATATATATATATATGTATAATATTGCATAATATATGATTTTTAAAAGGTAGCTCTTACAGATTCAAGAAGCGTGATGTTCATCTGCAGGCCCATCACCCAGCCATGCACTACTTCTGATCTTACTTCCTCCCATCCTAAGTGTGTGGTTTCTGTCTTGTGACACCCTTGGCAGCCACTGTCCGTCACCAGCACAGCACAGGGACAACTTGCAAGTAAGGAAACTGAGGTGCAGGTCCGCTGTGTTACACCAACATGCCAGTGGGTGTAACACTGCCTTTCCTCCAAGGGGCACAGAATACTGTTGGGATCACATGAAGTTTTGCTGAATATGCAAATGAGGGGCAGAGGGAAGACTGAAGCAAGAAAATCACAAGTTCAAGCCCAGCCTGGGCAACTTAGTTATCCAGGCAGAATCTTATTTCAAAATAAAAATTAAAAAGGGCCGAAGATGTAGCTCAATGCAAAAGCTGTTGATTTCATCTCCAGTACAGAAAAAAAATGAACAAACAAACAAACAAACAAAAAACCCCAAACTCTGTGTGGGAAGAGTCCATCCCCGAGTTTCTTCCACCTCCTTATACTATCAAAGATGGCTTCCAATCTGTATCTTTAAAAAAATCCTAACCTACTTGTACTGACTGTCGAGTGACTGTGGAGCTGTGGATGGGCAGATGGTGGGCGCGGCTGCCTCCCTGTGCTACAGGAATAAAGAGCTCTGAGAGCTGGGAGGCTTTAGAAACCTGCATTTTCTGGGGGTAAAATACCAAAACCTTTCACAGAACAGCACTGTTGGCACATGGTTATAATGCTGAGTAGGGCCCCAGTGTGGAGGGCGGGCAGCCAGGAACCCAGACATGCCCTGCCCACTCGCCAACAGGTAGAGTCTTCTCAGTTGTCGTATCTCGAGTGCTTTCTATCTAGCAAGCCCCATGCTGCCCCTCTTTCGTCCATCATCTCATGCAACCCTATCGATAAGTCATGAGGTAGGTGCTGTCATGAAACTATTTTAGAGATGAAAAACTGAGGCACAGAGAGGTCCAGCCAGCTGCCCGAGACCACACAGCTCAGAAAGGAGAGCGAAGTCTAAACTGAGGCCTCCGGGGACTGACTCCTAACCACTCAGAAGTTCTAGTCTTACTTCTAGGCTGAAAGGGCTTGGATATAGGAATCTTCCCTCTGTGCCTAAAGGTGGAGGTGGAGGGCAAGGTGTCGAAGCCAGCATGTCCCTCAAGACACAAGGATAAGACAAGAAACAGCTCAACTATTCAGACACACAAACTGGAAACTCACATGGTGACATACTACTAAGCAACAAAAAGGCACACACTGCTGGTCCATACTGCAGCCACACGGGTGAATCCCCACACACTGTGCTGGTTCCCCCACACCCGTGCACACGCACTGTCTGGTTCTACTTCAGCCACCCTAGGGAAGAAGGGGGCTCACTCCGTGGGAACCTTCCAGGTTCAGGACAGGTATATGCATATCAAACCTACCCCCGAGATCTGTACATTCCTTGCAGATGAATGACACCCAGGGCTGCGTCCAGACCCCTGAGAAGCCTGCTCTCCCTGTACTTGCCCAGAAGTCAAGGCTGCTTGGTTCAGAGGCAACCTTTAGGTTCAAGAGCTTAGGTCTCAAGTAGAAAGCAGGCTGGTGGCTGCCAGGGAGGAAAAGAAGCAGCTGCTTATGGGTGGGGGTGTCCCTTGGGATGGTTAAATGTTTTACAACTAGACAGAGGTGATGGTTGGCAACAGAAGGCCACTCAGTTATGCATTCTAACATATTTTCCTCTTCTGTGAATTTTATCTTCGTTAAAAAATATTTTTAGCCAGGGAGATAGCTGAGTGGCATAAGCGCCTGCCTGGCAAGTGCAAGGTCCTGAGTTCGATCTTCCATACAAAAAGAAAGAATTTAAAGTTATAAGGGTAAGAGGCGTATAGCTCAGTGGCACCACACCTGCCCGGCAAGCGCAAGGTCCTGAGTTTAATTTCTGGTTCCAAAAAATAGTAAGGGTAGACTCTGTGTGTGTGTGTGTGTGTGTGTGTGTGTGTGTGTGTAACCGCTGAGCTGCCCACCAGCACTTCAGCACAGTGGCTACCTCCTCTGAGAGGGCCTGGCTCACATCTGCCAGTCTCCCCAGCGGACAATCGGCTGGGGTCTGGTCCATCTGAGTGCTCACCCTGGCTGGGGAAAACAGCGGCAAAGAAACACAGCCGTGCACTCAGGTTCCCCCCAGGCCCCCTCCTGCGCCCTTGCACCCCCCTGGGTCCCGGCCCAATGCCCTCCACCTACCAAGGAGCTGCACCTCATCAGTGATGCCGTAGACGTCGATGAGTGCCCAAAGCGGGCCGCCCACGGCCACACCGCAGTGGAAGAGCACCGGCTCACCATCGTTGACACTGTAGAAGACGCGGCCGTGGCGATCAGCCCAGTAAGCCAGCACCGTATCGCGCAGGGCCAGGTTCTCAGGCAGCGCCTTGGCCCAGTAGCCGGGCCGTGTGACCAGGTCGGGACAGGCGTACTTGGGAATGTCCTGCGCGCTCATGAGCGATGGGTCGTGCGCTGTGAAGCCGAAGCGCAGCGCGCCGCTCCAGCCCGGGCGCACGGCCACCAGGCGCAGCCGCACCTGCTCATACAAGCGGATGGGCCGCTGCGTGAATGTGACGCCGTTGCAGAAGCTGTTGCGCCGCGTAGCCCGGCGTGAGTGGCCGTCCAGCCGCACATTCTTGCCTTTAGCCTGTGCGTGGAAGCGCGGTGCCTCACCCAGGACTGGGCGCCGCTCGGGGCCGGGGCCACAGCAGGGCCTGGTGGCCAGAAGGCGTGCAGGGGGACTTGAGTCTGCAGAAGGAGACAGGCAGGAAGGTTAGGGCTCAAGTCACCTTTTTATAGTCATTTTCACATGAAATTGCATCTTAATAGAAAAGTCACTGATAAACTTCAAACCAGGATAGAACAAATGGACACAAACCCAATTTTCTTCCTAGAGCATTTTACCCATTCCACAGATGGCCAAAGTGAAGTGTAAATCCTATGTTTGTACATGTGTGTATTGTAAGCCAGTCCACTCTCAAACAGGCCAACAGCAGTGGCATTGTCACCACAGCTAGCCTGGGGTCAATGACTTCTCCATCTTCACTGAACCCCTCCAATTCTGGAAGCTCCTCTGAGGGTCATCTCTGGGCTGCAGAGTTCCTCCAAGGGTAGTGAAAGCCCTGGATTCTTGGGCCAGGGTGAGGGGACTTGGCTGCTTTTTCCTGAGCTTTGTTCAGAAGCAAGACACAAGAGGTCATAGACGGCGAGCATTCTCTTGGGCTCTCCCAGGTGGCCTGGAATCCCAGCTCTTTGGTGCAGTTCTCTAGCTGACCTTCTTGCCTGTGGAATGGGTACACCAGGTAACTCAGCTAGCCACTGAGAGATAACACAGATGAAGTTGCTGACTATTACCTGGCACATGTACAGTGTCATAGGCCACCAATAACCTAACAATGTTGTTTGTTATTGAGGGTCCGAAACCCATCCAAGCCAAGGCTGTGTGGCTCCCTCTCCTCTTACCTACAGAAGATGAAGGCATTCTTTGGGAGCAAATTGGCATTTTGGGGGTTTGCTTCTAAGGAAATTCTGCTCCTTAGGGTCCTAGGTGGTCTCCTTTCAGACCTTCTGGCTATTGGCCAGGGCCCCAGGTGGCTTGGTATTGAGTGGGAGCAGCTACCTCCCCTCTCAGGGGCAGCCCCAGGGAGGCAGCAGGTGGGTGATTATTGCAGGTACAGGCCACTTTCATGGCATGTTCTCCTAGCTCACAGGCAGCCCACGACATGCAGGGAGAGGAGCTACCTGGGAGAATGGAAAGCCACAGCAGGGACCCTCCTCCCACGTCAACCACAGCCTACACTGTGCTTTGGGCACTCATGTGGAGGTGGTAGTGAATACTGGGGCACATGCCATGGCCCCTCCTGGGCCCACACAGAAGGGAGCCCTGGCCACTGAGCTGGGGAACCTTACAAGGGAGCTGGGAGCACCCCCTTTAAGCAGAAGCGACTGCCCCACAGAAGACAAAGTTCAAGGACCAAAGCCAAGGCCTCACATTAGAAAAAGAACTTAAGGGGCTTTTTCCTTCAGTCACTTAACAACTATTGAGGGTCCAGGCTGCGCCAAGCATCATGGGAAGCACTGGGAGACAGCAATTCCCAAGACAGACGAGGCCTCCACATGGATGGAGCTGATAGTCCAGTGGGAAAGTTCCACAATAAATTGCATAGGACACATTACAGACAGAAATGGGGGCTGGGGAGATAGCTTGGCGGTCTGTTTGCCTAGCAAGTGTTAGGATCCAGGTTTGATACTGGGTACCACATGCTGTACTGGCCTCAGAACCTTGGGCAAGCACGGCTGGCCACCAAAACTGGGTGTGGTGGTACACTCCTGTAATCCCAGCCCTGGGGAAACTGAGACAGGAGGATCACTACAAGTCTAGCAAGGCCTTGTACCAAACTAATTAATTAAAATAAAAAACAGAAAGGCAAAAATGTAGACCAGGCAGGGAACTATCTCAGTTACTCTTCTCTCATTGCTGGGACAAATACTGGACACTCAAAATGAAGGAAGGAAAGGTTTATTTAACTCACATGTAATGGAGGTTTCAGGGCAGAGAACATCCATTCATGGAGGTGAAAAGAGCAAGAGGAGCCAAGTGAGGAGTAACAGCAACAATGACTATAGAGAGGAAGTCTATCTCTCTTAAATTGCATTCAGGCTCTCTGCCCCAGGCTGGGGGGAGTACACACATCCTAATCCCAGCAGTACTAAAACCCATAATCTCAGCCTTGGATTACCCATAATCCCAGTGGATCACAAGTTAATCACAAATTCTAGAAGTCCCTGCTCCATGACTGCATGAGACTTTGGGGGACAACTAGACACAAATCATAATAGGGACAGAGAGAAGATGTTATTTTATTTATGAATTTAGGACAGGGTCTACAGGGTGTACAGGGTCTCACTACACAGGTTCAGACTCATAGTGATCTTCCTGGTTTCAGCCTCCCAAGAGCTGGGATTATAGGACTGAACCCCAGCCACTGCATGAGATGCTATTTTAGACAGGATTTTCAGGGAGGACCTCTCTGATGGGTAACTTCTGAACAGAGACTGAGGGAGATGAAGGAGTGAGCTGTGAAGGCACTTGGGGAAGAGCATTCCAGGCAGGGGAATGACAGTGCCCAGGCCTCGAGTAAGCACTAAGCAGGTGGCACCAGGAAGCCAGTGGAGTCTGAGTGGTGTCAGTCCTGGAAGAGTGATTCTGGAAATGAGGAGGGAAGAGATGGAGGTGATCAGGAGCTCTTCCTTAGCTCTTTAACCATGTTACTTGGAAAGGGAAGTGCCTGCTGATGCTTTGGAGCAGAGACGTGTGAGGCTGCTTGGGCCACTGCATGCAGGGTAGACCACTGGGAGCGGGCAGGCAAGGACAGCGGTCACCAAGGGAAGCCCACGACTGTTCCGCAGCAGGTGGGGGAGGGCTCCCAGTGGAGGCAGTAGGAAGGAATCACATTCTGGACAGGTTTTGAAAGTGGTAGGGATTTGGGGGTTTTCAGTAGTTCTTCCAGGAAGAAAGAAAACACTTGCTTTGGATGTTTAGATTCGATGAATAAAGCACTCACAATAGACATAAAGGCCTTTTGGTTCTATAACACACACTTGAAGGGGAGGCAGAGGGGAAGGCAGGGCTTTGATCCCCGGTACCCAGTAAAGGCCTGGCATGCTCAGGCACTTACTTGATAGATGCTGGCTGCTGCCTGGATTATCCTTGGAGCAAAAGTGACTAGGAGACCTCTCCCTCCACCCGCCCACTGCGCAGATGGGGAAATGGGCCAGCCAAGGGAGAAGAGCCTACCCAAGTGCAAGGTCTACGGGGCCAGGGTGGGAACCCCTTTTGTGGGCTCTTCTGCCAGGCCACCCCTGATGCAATGAGGCAGGAGGTGAGGGGTCACGTTCAGCACAGGAGGTTAAGGCCCTGGCCAGGGCCTGGCCTCCCACAGACTTGGGCCATCCCATTTCGCCGCATGTTCTATAGCTGTTAGTCATGTACCTGCTGCTTTTGCTGGCCCAGCGTTGCCCCTCCCTTTCCTACTACTGACAGCTCTGGCCTCCCCGCAGCGAGTGGGGTGACGTCATAAATCTTGAAATTGAGGTGTGGCCCAGGCTTGAGCAGCAAATGATTTTAGACCCCCAAGCTTGGGGGATTTCTTTTGCTTAAAGCCATACTGAGCTGGGTTTCTGAATTTTGAATTTTGATTGTACTTCAATCAAAAATACCCTGATGGATAGAGTCACCATGCATTCAGTAATTTCTAAGGGATACTTGCTCTGGATGGCTATTTGCCACACATTTCTTCATTTAATCCTCAGAGTAACCCTACGAGGTAAAGACTGCTGTTCTCTATCCCTACCAGGTGTGGACAAAGAAATGGAATTTCAGAGAGGTTGAATCACTTGCCCAAAGCCACACAGCTGGTATAGCTAAGGGTCCAACTGGGACTGAAACCAGATTCATATGTCTCCCAGACATGTCTTTTTAACTAGTTTACCCTACTAGGAGCACAGCATGGATGGAAGAGCTGGGCTGTAGATACCTGATGTGGAAGAGACAGGCAAGAGGTGACCTGACTCCCTTCACCCTTAGGTAGGTCTGCCCAGGGCCAGACAGGCACAAGGTACACACCCCGACATCCCAAATTTCAGTAGGGGTAGAGACACAACTAAAGACACAATGGCAACAGGGTTTGAGAAAGGCTGCATGGGCAACAGCATCCAGGGGCCATTAGGGCCTAAGGGAGGCTCTGGACTTGGCCAGGGGTTAGAGCAGAGGTGATGGCCACAAGCTAGGTTTCCAGGGAGCAGAGCAAAGTGCTTTAGGCTGTGCAGGGAAAGCCGGAGGGTGTAGGTAGGCAAAGGAAGGACATGGGGTTGGCAGAAGGGGTGAGGGGCAAGAGAGCTGCAGACATTCCTGGGACCCGAGAGGAAGGCCCTCCATGCCAGGCTGAGAGGCTCAGGCACACAGGACAGGGTAGGGGGGCCATGAAAGGTTCCGCACAGATCAGGACCCTGCCAGGCCACAGCTCCCTGTGACGGGGGTAGAGGCAGGCTCAGAACGAGGCTGCAGGCCATCTCTAGAACCCCAGGAGAAAAGGAAGTGCTGCTGGTTCAGAAGGACAAAGCTAAAGTACGCCACCCTGTGTACACCATCCACAGGGCTGCTCGGGGACGCCAGAGGCCTGTGTCTTCCACGCATGCCACGGCCTTGTACAGGCCACCCAACCTCGGGACCATCGCTTCCTTCAGTGCCGACAGATCAAGGTCCCCTTCTGCTGGCAAACTCTCCAGGAAACATTAAACATGACCACAGTCAAAAGGCTGATTTGATCATTTTTATCTCCCGCTCCCACAAACTGGGTCTCCCAATCTTATCTCTCTGCCCAAATTACTTTACAAAACGGCTTGGGAATTCTATGCAGATGTCCTCCGGAGCAGTCTGACAGTTGCGGTGAAGGCCGGACTGCTCCAGGAGATATACTGCTTTGTTACTATAAGAGGAAGCTTCCTGCAAACCCAACTATATGTTAGGATAAAATGCAGCCAAGTCATAGCGAAGTTTACATATTTGTTTAATCTTGATTATATGATCCAACTTCCTCCAGGGAATGAGGGATAAACACTCTTATTTTCCCCCTCTCTGAGGCCAGAGCCCTGACATGTGATAAAGAAAACCAGAGTGAAACCGTTCGAAGACGATGTGTTATTTACACAAATTGATGATACTTAAAATAAAAGGCAACAATAAGTGA